GGCCTTAGGTGAATCTCTCTTTATGGGGCCACGAACCGTGTGAGGGGTGTGCCGATATGGGTGGCGCGGACGCATGGGAAGGTCGCCACTGGAGCTTTAGGTGGAGCTCTCTATGGGGCCACGCGCCGCGTGAGCGGTGTGCCAAAATGGGTGGCGCGGACGCAGGGGAACGTCGCCATTGGGGCTTTATGTGGATCTCTCTACGGGGCCACGCGCCGTGTGAGGGGTGTGCCCAAATGGGGCGGTGCCGCCATGCGAACTGTGCCACTGGGGTTCTAGATGGTGATGATGACAGCAATGATGTGGATGATGATGCTGATGCTGATGCTGATGTTGATGCTGCTGCTGCTGCTGATGATGATGATGATGATGATGATGATGATGATGACGCTGATGATGATGATGCTGCTGATGATGATGCTGCTGATGATGATGATTAAGGCGACGACGACGATGATGATGATAATGAGAGGAAGAAGGAGTGGGGGGGCGAACGAGGCGAGGAGGAACGCGGGGCGCTGTCTCCTCAAAGCGAGGACCCAACACCACATAATGATTGGGAAAAACCACCCGCCCTCCGTCTCTGAAGCTGTTGTCAGTTTTTAAGATTCAGGGTTGTAGTTGGTGAGGAACGCTCAGGCGAGACGCCCCGCCCGCCCTTTCGACCGGCCTCGGGGTGCGACAGGGAGGAGTTATCTATGAGAAACATGAATGAAGTAGGAGGAGGAGGAGAAGGAGGAGGGGGAGAAGGAGGAGAAGAAGAAGGGGGGGGAGGAGGAGGATGATGATGAGGAGGACGAGGAGGCGGAGAAGGAGGACGAGGAGGAGAAGGAGGAGGAGGGTAGGATAAGGATGAGGATGAAGATGAGGGTAAGGATGAGGATGATGATGCTGATGTTGATGCTGATGCTGATGCTGATGCTGATGATGCTGATGATGATGTTGATGATGATGCTGATGATGATGCTGATGATGCTGATGATGATGCTGCTGATGATGAGGATGATGATGATGATGCTGATGACCATGATGTGGTGACGACGATGATGATGATGATGACGATGACGACGATGATGATGATGAGATGATGATGATGATGATGCTGCTGCTGCTGCTGCTGATGATGATGATGATGATGAGGAGGAGGAGGAGGAGGAGGAGGAGGAGGAGGAAGACCAGTGAAAACCAAAGACTCATCAACGATATCGGAGTACACGCTCCCTCCAAGCTCCCTCTTCTTAGTTCCCGACAGTGACGATCCTGAATCGTGCCAGAACACCAGTCCGTGGGCATCGCGAGTCAACGCAATTTTTGCGCCCTGATGATGCTGAACCCTCCCACAACACCATTTCTGGTACTTTCACCAAGAGAACCAATGAACATTTTGCAAATATTTGAAACGAATGTGCGCGGAGCTCAACGAAGAACCCTTATCCTGACAAGGACCCGCCCTCATTCCGTGAAGCTCTTGCAAACTTGTAAACCGAATGTGTGCGGCGCTTAGGCGAGATCCACATTCTGAGAAGGAACCGCCCTCAATCCGTGAAACCCTGGCAATGTTTTAAAAGCAAATGCGCGCGGCCTTTCAGGCGGAAACCACATTTTGGAAGCGACCCGCCCTCCATCTGTGAAACTATTGCGATTTGATGTTTTAAACTTCAGGGTCATAAGTAATAAGGAAGTCTCTGGCGAAACACCCAGGGCCAGGGCCAGGGCCGGGGCCGGGGCTGAGGCTGGGGCTTGGGGCCGGGACCAGGGTCAGGACCGGGGCCGGGGCCGGGGCTGGAGCTGGGGTCGGGGCCGGGGACCTGGGCCAGGACCTTGGCCGGGGCTGGGGCCAGGGCCTGGGCCAGAGCCCAGGAGAACGCAGCACGGGGTGGAGTACGGGGACCCCGCCTTGCACAGCGGAATTCAAGCGAAGCTCGATTTTACGCTATTGAAAACTCATATGCAGGATCGGCGGACAAGGTTGCACGTGGCTTACCTGACCTGGGATACCAGGTCGGAGGGAGTGTTTTGGCATGGGGTTCCATGTTCGTGTGCAACCGCCGGCGTTTGGCTCAACTGTCCATCCCGCCTTACGGCGGCACAGGACACATGCACCCACGTCATCGCTGTTTGCTTACAATCTTTCTCTTCAAGTTGCAGGAGGAGGAGGAGGAAGAGGAGGAGGAGGAGGAGGAGGAGGAGGAGGAGGAGGAGGAGGAGGAGGAGGGATACGGGAAGAGGGATAAGGGAGGAGGGAGGAGGGAGGAGGGTGGAGGGAGGAGGATGGAGGGAGGAGGATGATGAGGAGGAGGAGGAGGAGGCGGAGGAGGAGGAGGAGGAGGAGGAGGAGGGCTCGCCCCAGCTGTTTCCACCTCGACCTCCGCGGGCGCCTTGGACCAGGGCCACCTCTTTGGCCCCACCCCGCCTCGAGGCGCGGGAGGCCGAGCTCCTGCGCTTCGCGTTCCACGAGGCCCCCCGGCTGGCGCCGCGGGCCTCCGCGGTGCTGGCCACGTTCCTGGTGCACCTGCTGTCCGGGCTGCAGGCCGAGGCCGGCGCGGCCGGGGACGTGGCGGCGGCCCGCTGCCTCCTCGGCGGCGCGCGGGAGGCGCCCTCCGCCAGAGGGGCCTTTTGTGGTGCGGGCCCGCGCGAGCGGCGCAGAAGACCGGGGCCGTCTTCACTCAGGAGAGGAACAAAAACACACAGACACAATTAGTCCTCGGTTCTCCAGAAAATATGGGAAAATATGGGAAGTGAGGGGGAAGGCAGAAACCTAGACAATATGGGAAAATATGGGCATATTTCTATTTGTGTGTATTTCTTGTGCGTGCACACTTATGCTGACGTGAAAAGACGCCACGCGGTACTGCAAAGAACGCCACCTGCAGGATGATCCAAGGGCCCTCTGAGCTGTGAGTATGACATCTGTTTACAGAGCGGTTTTTTTAGGAAAAAGTTCCGGGGGGGAAATTCTGTACAAAACAATCGTTTTGTACAGAATTTCCCCCCCGCCTGTTTTTCCAGCGCTGTTTGCGCGTCCTCTCGCACCACTCTAATGAACGCAATGGCATTTCAATGTAACAGCTTAGAAGTAGCTTGCATCACTTGTTTCTGCAGTCTGTACGCTTTCCTCCTCCGTACTCGTTAGGGCTCGAACTTTTCTGGGGAGAGTTGGGGTCCGTGCATGGCCGCTCCTGGGCACCACCGGCAGCTGGCGCTGGTGGCTGCGCCCGGCTGGGCGGCCCTGGGCTGGCACTTCCTCGAGCAGGCGTTGCCCGGCGCGGGATCAGCGGCTGCTGCGTGGGCCGCGGGCGGGCTGAACTGCCCTGCGTGCAATATCACCTGCCCGGCTTGCCCTGCGTGCGAGCCGGCCCCTTGCTCGTGCCCGGCCTGTCCGGCGTGCGGGCCAGCGCCGCCCTGTGCGGCGTGCCCGGGGTGCGAGAAGCCCCCGCCGTGCCCGCCCCGCCTTGCCCGGGGTGCCCAGAGGCGCCCCCTGCGTGGGCCTTCGCGTTGGGCCCTCTCGGCACGGTGGTCCTCCACCTTGCCGTCCGCTTCAACGAGTGCCTGCGGGACGGGTGCCGTCGCCGCGGGCGGGGGCGCGCCGAGGCGGTGGCCGGCGCGCGCGAGCAGGCCGAGGTGGTCGCCAGGGCCCGTGAGCAGGCCGAGAGGGCCCGGCAGCGGGCCGCGCTCCAGTTCAGGTCGGCGCCCGACGCGGGTCCCGCATCGACCCACTCGCCGGAGTGATGGCGGCGCCCGGAGACTACATCTTGCTGCTCTACAACGAGCCTGGGCAGCCCCTTTATCATGAGGCTTTGGTGACAGGAGTCTCGGTTGCGACGCCGACGACGATCACGATGGCGACGCCAGACGGGGACCACTACCCCCAGAGCATCGAGATCGGCGACGACGTGCTCGAGGTGAGATGGATCGGCATGCAGGGGGCGACCCCGCCAGGAGTCGATGCTCGCCACGTGTATCGGTTCCGGCAGGTGCCATCGGCACAGGTGCTGCGGCAGCACTACAGGGACGCGGCGCTGATGCTCGGCAACATCGCGCCACGCGCCACCGCCGGCTTTGCAGCAGAGGCAGAGGCCAGCCCCAGGTGCGGAGTTGGCGGCGGCTCCCCGAGCCGTCCCCGCGGGAGCGGCGGCGGCGGCAGCGCCGCCAGGCCGCCTCTGGGTGTACGCCGAGGATTGCGAGGGCCATCGGCGAGGCGATGCAGCCGGGGCGCTGCCAGCCGACGCGGTGACGATGGGAGACCACGGGCTCGTGCAGCTCCAGGAGGGGACCGCCTTCATACAGATGGTCGAGCGGCGCAATCTGGAGCAGTATGTCATGGAGGACCTCCGCGTACTGCCAGTGAAGTTCGACGGCACTGGTCAACGTCGCCGCCCCTTCGCCGAGTCCGTCCAGAAGATGGCGGGAGAGGAGCCGGAGGGGGGGCTCGATTTGACCGGGCCGAGGATGTGCTTCAACCGTTTGCAGCAGCTCGCCGTGTCCAGCCAGACGCCGATCACGCAGAGCGAGCACTGGCGGCACGCGGCTCGGATTCCGGACGGGGACCGCAGCCCGTACGAGCACGAGGCGCTCTCCCACATCATGGAGGCGATGTGCACGGTCGACCAGTTGAACGGGCCGGCGTTGAAGTCGGCGGAGCTGATCGGCCGGCGTCTCCAGCTGATCGAGGACGCGCACGCCTCTGGCGGCATCGCTGATTACAGCCCGGCGGACCACTACATGGGCTGGTCGACCAGGCGGTCCGGGGCCTTCCCGGACCCAGGTCTGCGGAGCCACGTGGCCGAGCAGGTTCGCGGGGAGGCAGCCGTGGCCAAGGAGATGAGGAAGGCCAAGGAGGAGCAGCGCCTGCGCAAGCAGAACCCAAACAGGAAGAAGAACGACGACAACGGAAATGGCTAAGTCTATGGCTGGCCTCGGGGGCGGGAGAGCGCCGACCCGTCCCGACAAGCAGGCGCTGCATCAGAATTCATTCCCGAGTCATGTGGGGGCTCGTCACGATGGGCGACGACATCGGCCTCGGGAACTTTTTCCCTTTCCACCTGTGCCAGCGGAGCCAGCTATCCGCCCGGGCACGCCTGGTTACCTTCGTCGGCGACTACTGCGACGTGCGGGAGTCCAGGAGAGGGCAAATGAAGTCCTCGAAGTTTTGAATGAGATGGCCGGCGCGGCCCCAGGGGCTTCGGCCACGGCCAGTCCGAGTCTCGCCCAGCTTACGTCTCAGAGCTCCGTCCTCCGGAGGGTGGGGCAGCTGCCATACAACGAATCCTTGTACACCAGGCACGGGGCCTTCAATGAGCTCATGCCCACTGTGATCGACTACGCGGGAGTCGATCAAGCCACTGCCGTCAGACCTTACCAACGCTCTCTGGTATCCATACCCGTAGCTGGTGCGTCCCCAGTGCCGCTCAGTGCCGCGTGCGGGAGGCCGGAGAGGACTTTGTTGGAGCGGTCGGATGAATTCATGCTGTCAGACCCAGATGACGTTGGATGGCAGATGGAGTCAGGTACGCCTCAACAGCTCTACATGGACGAGGTGCTGCGCAAAGATCGGTCAGCTTACGTTGGCTTCATCGCAGACGTCCTGGGTGCTGGGCTGGTGGACTTCTCTGTCACCCCAAAGGAGATATGCACACCGTTCTTCGTCGAGAAGAAGAACAAGAATCTTCGGCTCATCCTGGATTGCAGGTGGTCGAACTTGCACTTCCGCCCAGCGCCCAGCCTCGATATGGGGACGGGCGCGGCCTGGGCCCGCGTCGAGCGGCCCGCTGGCGACCATGACCTATACTTCGCCGGGGCCGACGTCAAGGATTATTTCCACAGCCTCGAGAACTCCGCCGAGCTCAAGGATTACTTCTGCCACCCCTCCCTGACCTTGGAGGAGTTTGAGAGGGGCTTCGTAGATTGGCCCGGGGCCGAGGAGGTGCTGTCAATGGCGCGCCGCTCCGGCCTTCGGGAAGTGTGGCCGAGGGCTGTCACCGTCCCAATGGGATGGTCCTGGGCGTTCTTCCTGGGGCAGAAGGTTTTGGAGAACCAGATTTCCGTGGCCCTCCAGGGGCGGCCCCACGGGCAGCTCCGCGACGCCGGGCCACTCCCTGACATCCTGGGCGGGGTGGGCGTTTTGCCGTACTGCGACAACCTCAACGTGTACGGCGTAAGTCGCGAGGAGGTGCAGCAGGCCAAGAATTTGGTAGTGGGCCAGCTTCGCCGCGTCGGCTTCAGGGTTCACGAGGAGACCGACGCTTCGACCGAGCCTGGGCCGGAAGCTGGACGGCGCCCGCTGGCTGGCCATGAACAAGCCGGAGCGGGCGGCTCGCCTGCAGCGGGCGTGCCGGAATTTAGAAGGCTGCCGTCGAGTGACTGGTCACATGGTCAGGCGGTGGCTCGGCCATGTCGTGGATCACTTCCTCATCATGCGGGAAGGTTTGTCGTGCCTCAGGAGCTGCTACGACTTCGTGGAGAAGGTCGGCGGGCAGTGGGCCGAGCCTTGGGCCTCTGTCAGGAAGGAGGCGAGGTGGGTGAGGGTGCTCACTTACCTCTGCGCGGCCGAGCTGCCCCGCGAATGGCACCCTGAGGTCCTTTGCACTGACGCCTGCGAGAGCGGGATTGGCGTTGCTAGTCGCGTGATTCCAGTGCAGGAGGTCGCGAAGATCGGTTGCATATCAGAGCGTTGGAGATATCGGGGGAAGCATCCTCTCCATCAACCTCGTCGCAATGCCATGGGGCCACGGGGCCCCTTCAGGGACCTCGATACCGTGATCCCCATGGGCCCCGGGGGCGAGTTGGAGATGCTCGAGGGAAACAATAACTTCCAAGAGGTACCGGAAGGCATCACTGACCAATCCAAGTGGCACGTCATTTTGTCGACGAGGCTTCATCGGGAGGAGGGGATGCCGACGAAGGAGGGCCGGGCCGCGCTGCTGGGGATGAGGTGCAAGCTTCGCCATGCAGGGGCTTTTGGAAAACGACATTTGCTTCTGGGGGACCAGCTGGGGAACGCTGTGGCTATCGAGAGATCCAGGGCTCACAGCTATGCGATCCTCACTCTTGTTCGTCGAGCCTCCGCCTTCGCCAGTGCCACCGGCTCGAGCTGGTACTTCCGGTGGGTGCCGTCCGAGAGGAACGCGGCAGATGCGCCGTCGCGGCGATGGGAGAGAACAGCGCCGGCTCCGGCCTGCCGAGGGCGCCGCGGGGGCCCCGCCTGGCGCCGGCCGCCGAAGCCGCCCGGCCTTGGCGCTGACGCAGCGCAGCCAGGGGGCGGGCCCCGCGGTCCACAGGGGCCTCCGCAGGGCGCAGCCGCCAGCGCGGCCGGCCAGCCAGGTGGCCACGAGGCGGGCTACCACGCTGCCCCGCAACACGGCCCGCCCCCTGGTCTCGGGGGAGACCCGGGAGGAGCGGCGCGAGAAGCGGGCGCGGGTATTGCCCCCGTTCCAACCGAGAGAGACCAGCGACCAGCTTTCCATGTTGGAGTCGCACGCTGTCACGGAGCGGACGCTGGCGCTCTACGAGAGCTGGTGGAAGGATCTCCAGGATTTCGTGCAGTCGATGGGGGCGTACACGCTGGACACCGTGCAGAATGCAGATTCTGCCATGGTGGACTTCGCGGACTTCTTGTTCATGGAGGGGTTCGAGGTCGCGGACATCTGGAAGGCGTACGCGGCGGTCGTGTGGCACCTTGTCGACCTCTCGCCATGGTGCCGGCTCCGGCTCCCAAGGTTCGCGCGGGCCATGAGGGGGGCGCGCCATCTCGACCCCGGCGTGACGACCCCCCCAGTGCCTTGGGAAGTGGTCTGCGGCCTGGCGCTGTACGTGTACGAGGCCTTGGGCGGATCGCGTGCGTCGCCTGGATCACGATGTTCACCGCCTACCTCCGGCCAGCAGACCTTCATGCGCTGCGGGGCGAGGATCTGGCGGCCCCTGCGGGGTCCAGCCAGTGGTGGGCCCTCAACCTGCACCCGGCTGGGCGCGGCGACGAGTCGAAGGTCGGCCTGAGCGACGAGAGCTTGCTGTTGGACGCGCCGTACCTCCCAGGCCTCGGCGCAGCGTTGGCCGCGCTGGCGACGGACCGCGAGGGCGAGAAGCTTTTCGACATCTCGCCGGCGGAGCTGCTGAGGCTGTGGAACCTCGCCCTCGTCGGCATCGGGCTCCCCGCCAGGCAGAGGTACGTGCAGTACCAGCTGCGCCACGGCGGACCCAGCCATGACCGCCTGACGAAGACCCGAAGCGTGAAGGAGGTGTGGCGGAGGGGTCGCTGGGCGAGCGCCAAGTCTGTCAAAAGATACGAGGCCAGCGCGCGGGTGCAACAGGAGATGCAGAGGCTTCCAGCCGCCGTGCGCGCCTACGTCGAGCGGGCGGCTACTGCTTTGCCAGCGTTGGTTGAGTCTTGGGCTTCGAGGTCATTTACATCGACACCTGGGTCGAGGCGCTCTCGCAGACAGCGATAGGAGGTCTGTCGTCCCTTTTGCGGGCTTGGCGCCACAGCAGAATCGCCGCCGACCTGTGGCCAGCAACGCTGTCCAGTACACTACTGTTTGTGGGTATGGGACTCTGTGAGCTGGACGAATCCAGCTACCGGCCGCCGCGAAGCACGGCGGGCCGGGCCTCGGCATTCTCATCGCAGGGGAATCGGCTTTTCTTGCATCATCACAGAGCTCTGGCGGAAAAAGGGAAGGAAGCATTTCTTGTGCGTGCACACTTATGCTGACGTGAAAAGACGCCACGCGGTACTGCAAAGAACGCCACCTGCAGGATGATCCAAGGGCCCTCTGAGCTGTGAGTATGACATCTGTTTACAGAGCGGTTTTTTTTAGGAAAAAGCTCCTGGGGGGAAATTCTGTACAAAACAATCGTTTTGTACAGAATTTTCCCCCCGCCTGTTTTTCCAGCGCTGTTTGCGCGTCCTCTCGCGCCACTCTAATGAACGCAGTGGCATTTCAATGTAACAGCTTAGAAGTAGCTTGCATCACTTGTTTCTGCAGTCTGTACGCTTTCCTCCTCCGTACTCGTTAGGGCTCGAACTTTTCTGGGCCCACCCGCGGTCCACCCTGCTTGCTGCCTCCAGCGCTCCAACCAGCACTGTCGTCAAATACTCTGGGACTCTGTGAGCTGGACGAATCCAGCTACCGGCCGCCGCGAAGCACGGCGGGCCGGGCCTCGGCATTCTCATCGCAGGCGAATCGGCTTTTCTTGCATCATCACAGAGCTCTGGCGGAAAAAGGGAAGGAAGCATTTATTTGTGTGTCCTGGGGCCCCTTCATTCACCGACACTGGTCGAAGAGAAGCACATGCCCCGAGCATAGACTTTTTGGCGCTCCGCGCGGATTTCTTGCATCCGCGCTGGAGCACCCCGGCGGCGCCTCTGGCGCCGCCCCTGTCCAGCGCGGATCCAAGAAGTCCGCGCGGAGCGCCAAACAGTCTTGGTATGCTGCATGCTTTTCTTCTTCTAACTGGCGCGTAAGCTGCCCGCGTCAGGTTGCGCGTGAGCGCCCCGTTTCCAGAGTGCCGTGCCGCGCTGGCGGCCCGCGTAAGCCACCGCGAAAGCTTGCTATGTCATCTCGTGCAAGACCCCTTTGTTTTCGTCGCTCACAGGGGGTCCCGCCAGCACGAGCTGGCGCGTTTGGATTGTGTTGATGCGGTAAAAAGTCACACGAGCCCCGGACCCCATCTCTCTGTGCCATTTTCGAGCTTGATCGATCCGTGAGGGTCAAAGGACCAGAAACCGTGCGAAGACGCCCGCTGTGAAAAACCTGCAACGCCCAGAGATCAGTCCAGACCCCAGACGCTGTGTTTTTTTTCACAGCGTCGAGCCCCAGAGGTCTGGACCCCTTCCCCGGGACAGGTTTTTCATCCTGCCTCGTTGACTGGCGGTCCCGAGGCCCGGTGAAGGGCCCCGGGAGGCCGAAAAAATAGCGAAACGCCTCCCGTGCTGATTTCTGCACAGCGCGAGGGGGTCCGGGAGGGTCGCTCCTGCGCGCCGCCGATGCCTCCCGGACAATGCCACGCGGCTGCTGTGGGGCGCTCTGGCGCTGGGCCGGCGGCGCGGCGAGCGCGCGCGGCGCCTCGGCCGCGGCTGCCGCGGCGGCGGCGGCCGCGGCGGCGCCCCGCCGGCGGCCCTGCGCTGGGCGCTGCTGCCAGGCGCGGCCGGGGGCGGCTCCGCTGCGCGGGTGCACGAGGCCCGGTGCGGCGGGGGGCGGGTGCGGAGAGGGCCGAGGAGAGGAGGGGAGCGCAGGCAGGAGCAGGAGCAGGGGCAGGAGCGGGAGCAGGGCCAGAGGGAGGGCAGGAGCAGGAGCAGGAGCGGCGGGGGCGTGCCCCCTCCAGGAGCAGCCAGAGCAGGAGCGAGGGCAAGAGCAAGAGAGGAGCAACAGCAGGTCCTGTCCGTGCTGAACAGGATCCGCTGTCTCTGCCGCCGCAGACAGTTGTCCATTTGAGACAGGAGGCCGCCCGCCCAACAGTGGCCGCCGTTGGCTTTGGACAACATTTGCTGTTGGGCGTTGTTCCCATTTTTCAAGTACCCATTGCGGGCGTCTGCGGAGGCGCGGCTCAGAGGAGGAAAACGTACCCATCCCGCTACCCTGTTTTGGCATTTTTGGGCCTCCTGGGAGGCCCTCGTCGCCACCGCTAGACTCCCCCCGGCAGATGTCCGGGGAGTAGCTGTATCGGTACGTGCTTGTTGGTCTCCCCACGCGAGGCGCTCGTGGAGGCCGGCAGGGCGCTGGTGCCCGGAGGTGTGCTGGCAGTGGAGGGGCTCAACGACATGCACGGCCGCCCCGAGGTGCAGCATCGTCTGACCAATCTCCGCCCCACTGGGCCATGGCACCCCAGCCCCACCAACCAGCCCTTCGTCTCCCAAGGTTGATACTGGCCCCGCGAAGCACTCAGGGAACAGGCACATATCTCCACCCAGGTGGGTAAGTCGGCTTGTAGGGCCAAGGCCACGGCAGTGGGGATAATACAGACGCTTCGCGTAAACCCACCATCCCATCCAGAAACGATGTCCAGGCGAGTTGCCCTGATCACGGGTGTGGAGGAGCATACAGTGGAATAAAGGGCTGTGGAAGCCGTCACACCCCAAGACAGGGAAGATGGAGAAGGAATCGGAAGAGGAGGAGGATGATGATGAGGAGGAGGAGGAGAAGAAGGAGGAGGAGTAGGAGGAGGAGGAGGAGAACGAGGAGGATGGGGAGGAGGTTGAGTAGGAGTAGGAGTAGGAGGAGGAGGAGGAGGAGGAGCAGGAAGAACGAGGAGGAGCACAAGGCAGAAGTCGCAAGGCATAAGGCGCACCTAGCGTTACACTAATTGAGTCTTCTTGTGTGGTTTCACCAAGCCTTAATTGGTAGTACCAGCTTGTTATGGGAAGGACCCATGGGAGGGGGGAAGGATTTAGTCTACGCCAGACTAGAAAGGACAGTACCCCGCCCAGAGGATTTCAACCAGTTGTAGCTTGCTGGCCGCAGCCGCCTGCCGCTGCTGCCACGGCTCTCTTTCTTCATTCCTACCTCTTTTTGCTGTCCACCCTCTGCGATTGGGCTTCGAACCTCTGCCCTGAAGCTGCGAACGAGCGAAGGAACGAGCGAACGAACGAGGGTAGATGATGATGATGATGTGGATAATGATTATGATGATGCTGATGATGATGATGGTAACGACGACGACGATGATGATGATGGTGGTGGTGATGATGATCGATGATGATGATTATGATGCTGCTGATGATGATGACGACGATTATGATGATGCTGATGGTGGTGATGGTGATGGCGATGATGATGATGATGATGATGATTATGACGATGACGATGACGATGACGATGACGATAATGATGGTGCTGATGCTGATGCTGCTGATGATGATGTTGTTGATGATGATGATCATGTTGTTGTTGTTGATGATGCTGATGATGATGATGCTGCTGATGATGATGACGATGATGATGCTGATGATGAAGATGATGATTCTGATGATGCTGATGATGATCCTGATGATGGTGATGATGATGATGAAGATGATGATGACGATGACGATGACGATAATGATGGTGCTGATGCTGATGCTGCTGATGATGATGTTGTTGATGATAATGTTGTTGTTGATGATGCTGATGATGCTGATGATGATGATGATGACGATGATAATGCTGATGATGCAGATGATGATTCTGATGATGCTGATGATGATCCTGATGATGGTGATGATGATGATGCTGATGATAATGATGATGATGATGATGATGATGATGATGATGATGATGATGATGATGATGATGATGATGATGATGACCCGATGAGGATGATGATGCTGATGGCTGATGATGATGATGATGACGATGATGGTGGTGGTGGATGATGATGATGATGGTGATGATGATGATGATGATGAGCACGATGCGGATGATGATGATGACGATGATGATGATGATGATGATGATGATGATGATGATGATGACGATGATGATGATGATGATGTTGATGAAGATGATGATGATGATGATGATGATGATGATGATGATGAGGATGATGATGCTGATGGCTGATGATGATGATGATGATGATGATGATGATGATGATGATGATGATGAGGATCAGGATGAGGATGAGGATGAGGATGCGGATGAGGATGAGGATGAGGAGGATGAGGATGAGGATGAGGATGAGGATGAGGATGAGGATGAGGATGAGGATGAGGATGAGGATGGATGATGATGATGATGATGATGATGATGATGATGATGATGATGATGATGATGATGATGATGATGCTGATGATGAAGATGATGATGACGATGACGAGGATCAGGAGGAGGAGGATCAGGAGGAGGAGGCGGAGGGGAGGAGGAGGCGGAGTAGGAGGAGGAGGAGGAGGAGGAGGAGGAGGAGGAGGAGGAGGAGGAGGAGGAGAAGGAGGATGTTGAGGAGGAACAGGGCGAGCAGAAAGGCCAGAGGTCTCCCGGAGGCCTCTCGGAGTTTCGTCGGATCTCTTTTGAGAGCATTTTGGTGTCCTCCTGGGTGTCTTGGAGGCCTCTTTGCGGTCCTGGAGCCTCTAGGAGCGTCATGTGCGCCTCGGGGGAGCCTCTTGCGGCCTCTTGGGGGTCTCTTGGGAGCCTCGTGGGAACCTCTTGGGGGCATCTTGGTGCCTCCTGGGCGCCTCTTGGACCGTCTTAGGGCAGTCTTGGGAGCCTTGAGGGCCATCTTGGGGCCATCTTTGAGGAGATCGATCGAAGGGTGTGGGGAAATTTGAGCCCCCTCCCAGGAGGTCAAAATGTGAGCGTCCAGAACTTCAGTACAATCAATGATTTTTGCCTTATCGCCGAGGCCTTCTTGGACGTTCTAGTGGGTCGCGATCCCCCTCCGTTCATGTCCAGGGGTAGGGGGTAGGGGGAGGGGTAAGACACTCCCCGAAGGGGAAGAGGGGGGTTGGAAGAAGAAACGCTCTAAACCACTCACGCCCAGAGGGCTGGTGGGATTAGTCTAGGCCTCCCAGATGGGGTCCGAGTAGAAGCGGTTGGATGATCGCGCCGCATCGCCGATGCATCGCCGACACGGGTCGATGTGGAACCCGATCGATATGGCGCGAGGCGGAGCCCGATCGTCTCCACGCTTTTGTCGCCGATGCACCGCCAACGTCGCCGATGCGTCACCGATGCATCGCCGATGCATTTGCGATGCGGCGCGATCCTCCGACCCTATCTGCGGCAGGGTTCGCGTCGTGTCGACCAGCGGCCCAGAATCGGTCGAGGTTGCACGGCCTGACGTTTTGGAGACGGCCGATCGTTCCAGGTTGCACGACCCCCGCGGTGTCAGAAACCGTCGCCGGAGTCGGCACGTCACGATCCTGCCTTTCGCGGACCTCCTCTGGGAGGCCTCCTAGGAAGGGATCGGTGAAATTGCTCCCGGAGGTGCAGGAGGCGTTCCACCGCTTCGTGCAGGGCGAGGCGGCGGGTCCCGATGGGGTCCCCGGCGGGGGTCGGCGGTGGTGCCCGTTCCTGCGGATAGGCACCGTGGTGCTGCTGTCGCGGCCGCCGCACGCCGACGCGTACCGGGAGGCTCCGGGGATGGTGAGACTTGGCGATTGCCAAGGGTGTGGGCACGCAGGGGTGTTGTTTGCGATTTGGGTCGTTGGGGCTTGGGGGGGGCACAACGGTGCCCTCGTCGGGCGGGGCGCGGCGGAGAGCTCTGTCGAGGTCCTCGCCCGCCCCAGAGGGTGCCCCCCAGGGTGCTGATTGCCAAACGACACCCTCTGCAAACCACACCCTTCGGAGTCGCTCTGAGATACCGATGCTTTGGAGTCGTGGCCCAGCACTGGTCCTGGCGATCAGGAAGAGGGGGCGGGGTTCGAGGTTCTGGGTTCGGGAAAAGGTTATTTTTTTTTGTTCGGCATCCTGGGGTGCGTTCTCGGGCCCCATGGACCGTCAGAAACGGTACCCTGCCCCTCAGGGGCAGCGTAGGGGGGGGGCCCTCGCCCTCCGCCTTCCGCACATTCCGCGCGGCAGGTTCCACGCCGCGGCGGCCGCCGCCGAGGCCGCCATTGCGGCTTCCGCCGAGGCCGCAGCAGCGGTTTCGGCGGCGGCGGCGTCCGCCGCGGCGCGGCACCTGCCGCGCGGAAGGTGCGGAAGGTGGAGGGCGAGGGGGGTAGGCTCAGGGCGAGATGCATCGGCCCTCAATCGCCCACTGATCGCCGATAGAGGGGCCCGACGGCCCACCCCGCCCAGGCGCGTGCGGATGCGCCGTCGGGGGCCCAGCGTCGATCTGTCCGCGATGCATCGCCGGTTCCAGGCCGATGTCCGCCCCCCTGAGCCGGTCCCCCCCCTGGCGTTTCAACGAGCGAAGAACGGTATAAAATAAACCGTTTCGCCGTCGGGGACACCTGCCCCTGGGCGGCTGGAAAGTTTATACCCCTACGGTGCCACCGTAAGGGTATAAACTTTCCAGCCGCCCAGGGACAGGCGCCCCCGACAGCGAAAAAGTTTATTTTATACCGTTCTTCGCCCGTTAAGCGTTACCCCTCATCTCCTCGTCACCGCGGCCGGGTTCGCCCAGAGGTCCTGGCTAGAGCGTGCCCCAGGAGAGGTCCGTGGGGTAGCGAGAGTTGTGGACGTCTTGTTGTTCCCACGGAGGCGCTCTTCTCTGGGCTGCCCCCCTACTCGTTCATTTTGGGTCGGACGAAAGGGGGTGTCAAGGGGGGGGGAGAGGGTACGAAAACTGCTGCACGTGGCTGGTTTCGGCCCCCTCCCCACACTTTCTTCGATATGTTGGCGCCTCTGGCGCCAGGCAGTGCCGGGGAAATCCGTGAGCTGAGTTGATTCGCCAACCCTTCCTAGCGTCTGGCGCGGCGATCCGATTTCGGTTCGATTCTGGACGGTTCGCTTGCGATCCGATCCTACTTCGCGGCTCGATCCAGCGCAGGCCTGCCTTTGGTACCCCCCCCCAGACATCCGACGAGATGGCGCCATCCCAGGGGTCCCGACCCCTTCCCGGGGGTAGTTTTGTGTCCGTCCCGAACCTACTTTTGATGGTCCCCGGTCTCCGTTCCTGGGCCCCGTCCCCAGGTCCCGTCCCCGGGTCCACTCTTGATGGTCCCCGGAGCCCCGAATCCACTCTTGATGGTCCTCGGGCCCCGCCCCGTCCCCGTCCCGAACGGCATCGACCTTGTTCCAGTGCGCCACCCCCGAGGTCCCGGACCCCGAGGAACAGCACCCGGATCTGGAGAACTCACACCGTCGGAGGTCGGAGCTCTGGGCCCCCCCTGTCGTCCGGCCCAGTCATCAACGAGGAGCACGAGAAGCGCATGTACGGCTGCAGCCTGCTCATCGCGGGTTCCGTCCAGGTCCGGCGTCACCCACACATTATTTCCCTACCCAGGCTCTGCCTAGAAGGGTTCTGACTCTCTGGGCTTAAAGGGGCCGGGCAGTGGAAAGCGCCCCGGGCGGTTCCCCCAGTATCCACCCCGCGGTTCCCCCAGTTACGTCCCTTTAGCTTAGCGTTGCTTATCTCACCTTAGCTTACCTTATTTCATCTTAGCTTAGCTTAGCTTCATCTTAGCTCAGGTTTATCTTAGCTTAGCTGACCTTCATCTTAGCTTCGCTGAGCTTTAGCATAGCAGAGCACAGCATAGCATAACATAGCGTAGCATAGCATGCTACTTACTCTGTAGCT